GGAGGAGGAGGATCTTCAGGAGGAGGATATTCATCAGGAGGAGGATCGTCAGGAGGCGGCGGAGGAGGAGGATACTCGCAATCTGCTCCAGCACCAGCCGCGGCACCAGCACCAGCCCCAGCTCCAGCCCCAGCCCCATCCGGAGGATATGCTTCATCAGGAGGTGGGGGAGGATCTTCTGGAGGAGGATACTCGCAATCTGCTCCGGCACCAGCCCCAGCTCCAGCTCCAGCACCATCCGGAGGATACGCGTCCGGAGGAGGAGCAGGAGGATCATCCGGCGGAGGAGGTGGATATTCGCAATCTGCTCCACCACCACCCCCACAACCAGCTCCAGCACCTGAACCGGCTCCAGCTCCAGCCCCAGCACCATCAGGAGGATATGCTTCATCAGGGGGAGGAGGAGGATCTTCTGGAGGTGGATATTCATCAGGAGGAGGATCGTCAGGAGGCGGCGGAGGAGGCTCGTCGGGTGGATATTCTCAATCTGCCCCACCACCACCACCAGCTCCAGCTCCAGCTCCAGCACCTGCCCCAGCACCAGCTCCAGCGCCATCAGGAGGATATGCTTCATCAGGAGGAGGATCATCTGGCGGAGGCGGCGGCGGATACTCGCAATCAGCTCCACCACCACCAGCGCCTGAATCAGCACCAGCCCCGGCACCAGCACCATCAGGAGGATATGCTTCATCAGGAGGAGGAGAATCATCAGGCGGAGGATCGTCAGCCTCATCTGGTGGTTACGCTTCTTCTGGAGGAGGCGGAGGAGGAGGAGGAGGATATGCTTCGGCATCTGCTCCACCTCCATCAGGAGGAGGAGGCGGTGGATACTCTGCATCTGCTGCTCCACCCCCACCACCACCACCTGCACCAGAACCGGCTCCAGCTCCAGCTCCAGCTCCAGCACCATCTCGAGGCTACTCTTCGGGAGGTGGTGGAGGAGGAGGATCTTCTGGAGGTTACTCTGGAGGATCAGCCCCAGCACCAGCAAGTGAACCAGCTCCAGCTCCAGCACCAGAACAAGCACCAGCTCCAGCTCCAGCTCCAGCACCATCTGGAGGCTATTCTTCGGGAGGTGGTGGAGGAGGAGGATCTTCTGGAGGTTACTCTGGAGGATCAGCCCCAGCACCAGCAAGTGAACCAGCTCCAGCTCCAGCACCAGAACCAGAACCAGCTCCAGCTCCAGCTCCATCAAGCGGAGGATACTCGGGTGGAAGTTCATCTGGAGGAGGAGGCGGAGGATCGTCAGGAGGATCTTCCGGAGGATATTCAGGAGGATCTGCTGCTCCACCCCCACCACCACCACCTGCACCAGAACCGGCTCCAGCTCCAGCTCCAGCTCCAGCACCATCTGGAGGCTACTCTTCGGAAGGTGGTGGAGGAGGAGGATCTTCTGGAGGTTACTCTGGAGGATCAGCCCCAGCACCAGCAAGTGAACCAGCTCCAGCTCCAGCACCAGAACCAGAACCAGCTCCAGCTCCAGCTTCAGCTCCATCAAGCGGAGGATACTCGGGTGGAAGTTCATCTGGAGGAGGAGGCGGAGGATCGTCAGGAGGATCTTCCGGAGGATATTCAGGAGGATCGGCTGCTCCACCACCACCACCGCCGCCACCACCGCCGTCACCAGCGCCTGAACCAGCTTTAGCTCCCGAAGCCGCTCCAGCTGCGCCATCCGGTGGCGGATACTCAGGAGGAGGAAGCTCAGGAGGCGGAGGAGGATCATCAGGATACTCTGGAAGCCGAATTGCTCGTCATCGCTCTTAATCATATCTCGACGGAATGTGTCATCAAGAAGTTTCTACTTCTGTTTTTATCAATTTTTCATTTCCGCTTGTGTCTTCTTTCATTTCAACCGGTACAATCCTTTTGTCATTCCCAACGTTTAAAATAAACGTGTACTTTCAATCATATTAATTCGTTTTTGATGATGGTCCTTACAGTAGTAGAAATAGGTCAGATGATCAGTGCACTCATAACAATCACAGGAAAACGTTGAATTTTTGAAAAATTCTTGTGAACTTCCACATTTAACTTTTGCCAACTGTTGTCCTTAATACTGGTCTAGGATACCGTACCTTAGACGATATTTAGAAATCTTCGGAATTCGAAAAACTAAAAGACTAGCTTTGATGTCTCGAATTCTCGGTCTCGGTGCTCTCGGAATCACTGCTGCTAGCACTTTGGCAGTATGGCAAACTCGTTTCAACCCAAGGATCCATGAAGCATCAAACTGTCAAATGGAACGGCTCAAGGGTCTACCAACCAGAGAAGCCATTGTTGATTCGTTGAAGAAAGAAAAACAGTTTGATGTTCTAGTAATCGGAGGAGGATCAGCTGGAGCTGGAGTGGCATTGGATGCTCAGACACGTGGATTGAAAACTGCGATGGTGGAATACGGTGACTATTGTTGTGGAACGTCTTCAAAGTCTTCGAAGTTGATTCATGGAGGTGTCAAGTATCTAGAGACGGCTTTGAAGGAAATGGATTATGAGCAATATAAGATCGTTCAGGAGGGATTGAAAGAAAGAATCAATGTCATGAAATGTGCTCCATTCTTGTCCCACACTTTCCCAGTTCTGGTCCCAACTTACAAATGGTGGCAGTCTGTTTACTATTGGGGTGGAGTCAAAGTTTACGATTTCCTTGCTGGAAAATGTATTCCATCGAAATTTGTAAGCAAAGAGGAAGCGATTGAAATCTGTCCAACGATTCGGAAAGAGGGATTGAGAGGCGCCATGTTGTATTATGATGGACAACAAAACGATGCTCGATTGGTTCTAGTTGTGGCATTAACTGCAATTCGGTATGGAGCAAAAGTAAGTTTTAATTCATATATTTTTCTCTCAAATTTGAGTAATTTTTAGTGTGTGAACCATACGGAATGTGTTGATTTGTTGAAAGATTCGGATGGAAAAGTGACTGGAGCAATTGTGAAAGATCACATTTCTGGAGAGACTTATAAAATCAACGCAAAAGTAGTGGTCAATGCCACCGGACCTCATAACGATCACATTCGAAAAATGGCTGACCCAAATCGAAAACCAATCATAATGGGATGTTCTGGAATCCATTTAACTGTTGCCAAATATTTCTGCCCTGGAAATACGGGACTTGTGAACCCAAAATCGTCGGATGGGCGAGTCATTTTCTCATTCCCCTGGGAAAATGTCACTATTGTTGGGACCACTGATGATGAAGCTGAACCATCGCATTCTCCAAATGTGTCAGAAAAAGAGATTCAGTATATTTTGGAGGAGATGAATAGAAGTTACGCGAAAGAATATCAGATTAAGAGGGAAGACGTGATTAGTGCTTGGTCAGGGATTCGTGGATTGGTATGGGATCCAAGAAAGAAGAATCATAGGACACTGGCCAGAGGGCATGTTGTTGATGTAAGTTTTTATGGTGATGTGCGATTTGGAGAACTGCCGAAAAACGGACCGTCCGCCGGGGCGCTGCCGGCCCGCCAATTAGCGGTCATCGACCAGTTCAATAAACTATTTTTGAGGTGGTCCGATATGAGAAAAATTAATTTCTACCATCATTCTATAATCTAGTGGGAACATGAAATATTGTTTTTTGGCTGATTTCCTTCCAAAGTCGATTTTCAAAACGGTTCCGATTGTCCGTCAACCGTCCGTCGACGGTCCGTCGGCTCCTTTCCGGCTGCCGAATAACCTCTTTGTCATCATTTAGTTTTTCAGCAGTTCCCCTTTGTAATTTGCATTTTCATTAACATAATTTTTTCAGGTGGACCCAAGTGGTCTTATCACAATTGCTGGTGGAAAACTAACAACATTCAGGCCATGGCAGAAGAAACCATGAATAAAGTGGTGGAGAACAATCGTTTCGATGAAGTTAAACCATGTGCAACCCGCGGAATGAAGTTTGAAGGTGGACTCAATTACACCCCGATGCTCTATCGAGAAATATCCAGAAAGTATGGGTTGGAAGAAAAAGTCGCCTCTCATCTATGTCACACCTATGGAGATAAAGTCTACGAAGTTCTGAAGTTGTGTAAATCCACCGGAAAACAATTCCCAGCTATCGGCCATCGGCTTCATCCAGATTTCCCATTTTTGGAAGCTGAAGTTAGATACGCCGTCAAAGAAGAATACGCTCGAATTCCAGCTGATATTCTGGCGAGAAGAACTCGTCTGTCCCTTCTGGATGCTCGTGCTGCCAAACAAGTATTGCCACGTGTCGTTTCAATAATGGCCGAGGAACTGGGATGGAATCCATGTCAACAGAAGAAAAACTATGAGGCTGGATTGGAGTTTTTGAAAGTGGAAATGGGAGTGTTCAATTTGGGAAAAGGAAAAGGAGAGAGAATGGAGCTGACTAGGTGGGAGCATAATTTTATTTGTAGTTTCTTAAGTTTTCAAATTTCAGTTCTGAAGAATCTCAAATCGCATCCATCTTCAAAAAAATTGATAAAGAAGGACGTGGAACATTCTCGAGTAGTGACCTAAAAGAGTTTTTGAATGAACAGAAGAAAAGTCAAAACGTTCAGAAGGATATTCTGGTAGATGTGATTACAGAAGCCAACGATGGAAATCGATTTATTTCACAAGAAGAACTACAGAAGGTATTTGAAAGGATTGACTTCTAAATTTCTCCATTTTCCAGATCTACCTGAACATCAAGAATGGTTCCTACAAAGGACGTCGGTTGATCGACCATCTCGGAGAACTCAAAACTGAATAAACAAGAAGAAAACTCATGGAAATACAATTTATTTATTTGTACTAACATCTATAAAATCTCTGCTTCTTCCTTTATTTTCTCTATTTGATTTGTGGATTAGCCGATTGATTAGCCTCCATTTCAATTTGTTCTCCTTTCCGCCGCCTCTTTCCGTAAAAACAGATGGCGACCGGTGTTTTGGCACTCAGCCAACATTTTTCGCATGGCTAAACAAGCCATTGTTCTTTATCCCCCTTCATAAGTGTCCCATTGGTTATGCAAATGACTTTGAAAGAGGGTCATATAGAGCAGAGTATTGTTCATTTAGGTTTCTGTTCGCTTTGTGCATGATTGAGTGAATATATTTATTAAATTTAGTGGTATTATTCGGGAAGAGAAACTCCGGTGGCAGAAAATCCCACAACGACAATACCGTAACCTAAAAATGCGTTTCTTTTTTGAGTTTTTGGTTTGCGTACGATTTCAGACACTTTTTCTACTGCCAAAAAATTTAATTTTTCCGATTAGTTCGGAAAAAAATCGTAAATCAGTGAAAACGAGAAAAGAAATGATGAACATTTTTAGGTTACTGTAGTTATCGTTATAAAAACTTCAGCCAAATCCACCGGCGTTTCTCTTCCATGGCGTGTTTGTACTGACATACCATATTTTTTTTTGTAATAGAAGCCCACCCAAACCGTCAACTTTCAGCTCAATCATCTCAATGCCTGTAGATATCAAAATATTTCCAACTGATTAATTATTTATCATAATATCACCTGAATTTTATCACTTGACAATTTTTAAAAATCTTCCACAGAAATCGAAATAATTGAGCTCAAAGGTGACGGTTTGTGTGGGCGTCTATCAGAGGAAATACGATAATATGATAGGACATTTTTCTGTTAATTTTTTTGGAAATCATTCCCACCCCTTCCCCATATAATCCCTTTTTACCTGTCAACCGTATCCTATCATCTCAAACAAAAACAATAAACATATCCGATATCTTCCCCACTGTCTCCGTTCTCTCCCTCATTTTCCGCAAACTTTGCTCTTTCCTGTTCAAATAGCAATACAGTTGGATGTGGGGTGAAATGCTGATGACAAGAAGCCCTGTGACTAAAGAGTAACGGAAATCCAGAGACGCAGAAGAAGGGATGCGTGTGAAATAGAGCCTCTCTCGCGCGGGTGTCTGTTCTGCCAGGAGCCCCCAGGAAAGCCATCTTTCCTCTTTTCTCTCTGCTTGTATCTCTCTTCCCAACGATTTTTAAAAATTGTAGATGTATCGATGGATCCTCTTGATTCTGCTTTACATGATGAATCCAGTTGATGGTTATATGTGTCACAAGTGTGCGAGTACAGATGCTGTTTGGGTAAACCTCTGATATTTTTAAAAACATTTCTTTAATTTTCTATTTTCAGAATTGGGTGAAATATGGGTTGCCAGTGAACCAAGGAGATTCAATCGTCAGTGATGATAAGTGTCTAGTTGAGAGCAAGTTGAAGAAGGATGGTGACGCTTGTGCTGGGTACTGTATGACAATTAATATTACAAGAACAGATGAAGAGAATTATGGAAGGACTATTTGTGAGTTTTATTCTAACTGTCAATTGATATAAAGAAGCGTTCAATAGGATATACAAAACCGTACTTTTTCAGTTGATTTTCCGTCATTTCGACGATTTTCAGGAGTCTGGAGCTTTACTGGACACTTTGAAAATTTTTGAGTTTCAAACAGACTTAGATTGAAAATGTTTCATTCACAGAATTTTTGAATTTAAAATTTTCAATTTAGGCCCGTTTTACACCATCCAAAATTTTCAAAGTGATCCGAAACTTGACAGCCGAGCTTCAGACTCATGAAAATGGTCAAAATCAACTGAAACATAGTTTTTTGTATATCATATTTACCCGTACTGAAGTTAGATTTCTAGGAATTGAAAAATAGTAGTGTCTTATTCCAAGGCAAGGATATAAAACTGTACCAACTTATTATAGCTATCGTTCGTGATTGCCAACCTCGTACAAAAAACCTTCCGGATTTAAACGAGGACGACGCTCCACTCTGCATTTCTTATGAAAAAATTGTGAACCGCCGAAAGTGAGTCATTTCCTTTCAAACAATGCACATCAATCTTCGTTCTTATTCAGCGTGAACATCACCACATGCTACTGCCGGGGTCACTATTGCAATGGACTTGGATTTTCCGAAGCGACAAGGCATTCAAAAGCAATTGAACTTCCACAAAACTCTATAGAACCTAAAGAGGCTTCTAGTTTTCCTTGGTTTCTCATTCATCTTGCTCTGATTTCTTTTTTATTCTAATCGTTGTGCTGATACATTCGTTCAGCACATGTAGGAGAAGTAGGGAGGATAATGATGGAGAATATGAAATGGGTCGACAGGAAGAGGTTAACTGATTTTTGAATACGTGTAGAGCTATATTGTTGAAATTTTAATTTGTTACTTTGCTTTTGAAACTAATAAAAATTTGCGATTCATCACAAAAGTCCATAAATTTGGGTCGATTTCCGCTCGTAAATCGACACCGAGACCCCGCAAATTCCGGGGAAACAAAAAAATCGGGGAAAAAAACCGGGGAAAGTGGGCGGAGTCGGGGGCGGAGTCTAAAATGCAACCCTGGCACGGTTTTTCTGCACATTTGGACACGGTCATGAGGGGGCGGACGGTAAGTTGCAACCCTGGCACGGTTTTGCCGCACGGTTTTTCTCGACTCCGCCCACTTTCTTCGGTTTTTTCCCCGATTTTTTCTTTCCCCGGAATTTGCGCGGTCTCTCGACACCGGGCATGACAACGAAAGCGCGCTCCAACGCAAACCCCGCGAACGCGGAAATTTCAAATTTTATCTCGACACCTGATCTTTTTTCTGTTTCCTTTCAATTTTTTCCACTGTTTATCAGCATTTTTCGCCGCATTATCCGTTTCCCCAAACAAAAAAAACACTTATCAAAATCGTGATAAAGTCGGAGAAATATCTCGCCAGATGACAGTTGTTGGTTATTATTTGCTCACATCTTCCTTTCGCTTTCCCTATTGACCAGACAATTTTTTATTCTATAAATCTCTCAGAATTCAATGAGGAAAAATTGATTGAAAAATAAATTTATGAGTTTCGAAACGATTCTCTACTCTGCCATAGTTCTTCTCTTTATTTTCCTAGTATTCCTTTTCATCACCGCTTCCCTCATCGTTCGTCGCTCCAAACAAAGCAGTGTGAATCTGCAGACGGTGGTGGTGACTCAGGAGAATCCCTATGTCACGATGACCAGTCGATCATCGAAAATGGTAGGGAATTGTATGGTGAACATCTGCGTGTTTCCGATTCTGACCTCGAATTTCAAAAACCTTGTTTAACTTGAATGTCGTCTACAGACACACATGGTCTTGGTGTCAGCCTCTTTTTCCATTGACAATACTTCTCCATTTTCTCTATATTGTGAATAAAACTTCTCATTTTGAAAGATCATGTTTCAGGAAATCCCAGTTATTCTTCCGAAGAAGCTGAATATGGCTGACAACGATCACAAGGTACGATACTACTATTATTCTGATACAAAAGTAGAGTTGTGGAAAAGAAACGGCAAATACTGTAACCTAAAATACGTTTTTTTCCTAATTTATCGTATCGATTTTCGTGCCTTTTCAGGCAACTTTTTTAAAGAAAAAATAACAGAAAACTCGACGAAAAGTATTGAAAAACGAGAAAAAAATACGGAAAATATAAATATTTTTAGGTTTGGGTAGTTGTCCATACTTTCCGCCACAGCCATCGAAGTACCAGAATAATGATGTCTTTTCCTTGAAATTTTTTTTCAGCACCTACCGCCGCACAATCCTCCTCCACCGGTTCCACATCATCATCAACCAAATACTCATTCCACTCACCATAGCTCTGCAACGATTTCTTCGGTTACAAGTAGCCTCAACACCACGACTAGCAAGAAGCCAGCTGTCGCCGCTCCTCCTGCACCAACACTGAATAAGACGGTCCGTTCTTTTTTTGAAGTTTGGCATCGAGGCCAAGTTTAGGCGCGCAGCGCAGTGTGGCGCGACATTTAGCTGAGTATCGACTCAACAACGCTGAACTTCTCGTATTTTTCTCCGTATCTAAATTTCAAATATCGTTTCAGGTGGAAAGCGCCAGTTCCGGACGTGTGATGCAGTTGAATGGACATGTTGGATTCGACTCTCTTCCTCATCAACTTGTCAAGAAGGCTGTAGAAGCTGGGTGAGTTAAAAGAATGAAAAATCTTATAAAATATCGCGATTTTCAGATTTCAATTCAATCTCATGTGCGTCGGAGAGACGGGAATGGGAAAAACGACGCTGATAGAATCCCTATTCAATATGAAACTCGACTTCGAGCCGTGTAATCACGAGTTGAAAACTGTTGAATTGAGAACGAAAACTTATGGTGAGTGAGCATCTCAAGGCCTCTAATTTTTAACAAATCATTCGTTTCAGACGTTGCTGAAGGCGGAATTCGAGTCAAACTGCGATTGGTAGAGACTGCCGGGTTTGGAGATCAGCTCGACAAGGATAAGAGGTAGAATCCTTAAGTAGAACGGTTCAAAATTCTGAGTTTGAGTTTCAGCGCCAAAGTGATTGTTGACTATTTGGAGTCACAATTTGAAACGTATCTACAGGAAGAGCTGAAGCCACGTCGTATGCTTCAATATTTTGACGATTCGAGAATCCATGCGTGCCTATACTTCATCTCGCCAACCGGCCATGGGTTTGTGATTCATTTAGAGCTAATTAGCATCCCATTATTTCAGACTGAAAGCCCTTGACTTGGTCACTCTTCGTGAATTGGCAAAACGTGTGAATGTGATTCCAGTTATAGCGAAATCCGACACGACATGCAAAGACGAATTGCTCAGATTCAAAGCAAAGATTCTGAGTGAGCTCAAGGCGCAGAAAATCGAGATTTATTCATTCCCAACCGACGATGAGACAGTCTCATCAACGAACCAAGCAATGAACACCGCAGTTCCTTTCGCTGTCGTTGGAAGTTGTGATTTTGTGAAAAAAGAGAACGGACAAATGGTTCGGGCTCGCCAGTACCCATGGGGTATAGTAGAAGTGGAGAACGAGCAACACTGCGATTTCGTCAAACTTCGCGAAGCTCTTCTACGAACCAACGTCGATGAAATGAGACAACGAACTCATGAATCACTATACGAGAATTATCGTCGCGATCGACTTCGACAAATGAAGATTGGAGATGGGGAAACTGGACCGAAGATTATCGAAAAACTCGCACAGGTATCATTTTTAGATCGAAGAAGTTAGGTTTCACTGATTCTAAGCGTCGCTTCCAGAAACATCGCGAGTACCAAGATGAGTTCAGTCGTCGGGAGTTGAGCCTTCGCGAGGAATTCCAGAAGAAACTCGATTCAACAGAAGCGGACATGCGGAAAGTGGAGGAAGCATTGGCAGCACGCGAGAGAGAAGTTCAAGATGAGCATGAACGAGAGGCGAAGAAACTGGACGCAGAGATTCGTCAGTTGACCGAAGAGCGTATGAAGTTGATGGCGAAGGTGTCGAAGAAGCTGAGAAAGTGATGATAACGCATCCTATCCTGATAATTCACCAGCTGTACTATGATTTGATATTAATCCCCGTTTTCTGTTTCCTTCCCTTTTTGTATTTCAAATACGCCTTTTTATATGCTTTTACATAGGCTAGAACTACTGTGGTATGCTATTGCGCGCGTCGAAGTTATAATCCAGAGGAAATTGTTTTGAGGTTGGAAATCAACACAAAATTGTGAGAAATTTGAATTTTAAATAGCCCAAAACTTCGCCACGTCACTTTCTCAATCGAGCGCAACAACATACCACAGCTGTTCGAATCCTGCGATTCCTCTCTCAAAGTTATTTATTTGATCTTCACTCTCTTTCTCTGTCTCTTTTTATTCCGCATATTATACACGCACATTTCACTGGTATCGTATTTTGCTTGTTGCTATAGCAACATTATGCTCTATTATGCCGGATACCTCTCCTTATTTTTCCATGTTAAATGAATCACAACAAAACGCTTTGTGATATTAGATGATTTTTATACACAGTTTATAATGAGAAAATTTATTCATAGAGAGGCAGTAGTTGAGCTTCAGCAGTGGCACGTCCCACTTCGTTCTCACACAGGACGGTGAACGTTCCAAAGTGATGCATCTGGACATATGGGATGGTTAGGCGGCAAACGTCGGCGGTATCTTCAATGATGACGTCACTGAAGCGGAGTTTGTCTTCGTTGAAGAGCCAGCAGACCTGCAATCAGCTATTTTCAGTTTAGAAATCAGCGTTTCCATGTTAAAAATATTGCAGTTCTTCCTTCGAGAAATCTCAAGAGCAAACAAGAAAAACACATGTTGCTTCAAATTTCTAGTACTATTACAAACTGTCAACTTGTTTAAAATAGGTCTTGACACGACAAAAGCACAGCATTTTTCTTGGAACGTTGTGTAAATGTGCTGGAATGCTAATTTTTCAAATTGGCGATGGTATCGACACGAAAAAAGCAACTCACTCTCGGGCGTGGACTTCCGAGAAGACAACAATCGAACACCGCTTTGCCTCCGATGTGAACTCTCAAATCTCCGAAGACCTGTAAACTTCGAAATTGAAAGTTTTTTGAATATCTTAAAACCTTACCTTCAAAAATTCCGGGGCATAGTTCCATGGATTGTTGGCGTACTTGTTTTTCGGGATTTCGTATGCCAAATGATTTACTTGCTGAAAAATAGCTTTCTTCAGAAGACGTTAACTTCAGAATCTGATTTTCCGTACCTTTGTCAACGGTGAAACTTGTTGTGCCTGTCTGTAGACTCCATCCACACAATCCACATTCAATGTGCTACTGTATTGACGTGGTGGTGGTTGTGGAGGGGAATAAGACATCTTCTGGAACCAAGCTCTGAAATTTTCAGCTGAAACCCCTGGCCTGATTCAATCAATACGAAAAAATAACCGAAAATCGATAAAATAAGTTATGCCGATGGTAAGTTTTGAGTGGTAAAGATAGATGAAAATTGCGCGGGATGCTCCCTCGAGCGGCGCTCAAGAAGTATAGGAAGAGAGCCACGAGAAGCAAACAGAAGAAGAAAGAATTGGAGAAAATGGAATGGTCGAAAAGTTTCGCGGGGGAGAGATCTTATGGCAGATCTGTCCGGGGTGCTTTGGTTCGTTTTATAGTAGATTGGATGCTTTGATTGGGTTTCGATAAGTGCATTCAGTTGTAGATGATGGTTGTATGGGAATGTTACCAGAAGAGCAAAGTGGAATTTTAAAAACACGGTTTGGGTGTTCAAACCTCAATTTAGGATACAACAGTCTTATAAGATCATCTCATAGACGGAAATATGTTATTTTTTGTTGTCTTAACAAGCTTTTACCATAAACACTCTAGTAGAACGCTCACAAGCCGTAAACTTTGAGCACACATATCTCGGTTCCTGTAAAAGATATAAAAAAGTTCTCAACTGATAATTTGTTTGTCATAATACCAACAATATTTTATCAGTAAAAAAATGTTGATATCTTACACAGGAAATGAGCTACATTGGCTTGAGTGACCTTCTATTGGAGTGTTAAAGCGATACCTTGCCGGGTTAGGTTGGAACATTAGGCATCAAGAAATAGTTAATTAGTTTTTCTGTGATGCTAATTTATGAAATTTTGTCGTTTTTCCAGTTCCAATAAGCATATCTAATTTGGATGAACTTCTAGAAAAAAAAAACGAATTTCTAAATGAAAGCTCTTTTTTGTTATATCTGTTCTAATCTTTTCGCAATAATCAGAAAAGCTATAAACATTTTCTGAGGCACGGGAAGTTGAATTTTATCTACTGATAATACCAAAATTTTGAAAACGAAGCTCACCTGTATTTCCTTGCAGGATTTTTACCGTAAATGTTCTGTCCTATGAGTTTATTTTGAGATCAATTATCTCGGTTCTTATGAAAGATATCAACAATTTGTCAACTGATAAAATGTTGATGATATTATGATAAACAATATATCAGTTAAAACTTTTTTGATAACTTTCACAGGAATCGAGATAATTGAGCTCAAACTTAACAGAGTGGTGGCCCTTCTATTACAAGTTTACGGTACCTTGTCCATCATCTTTGATCCATCTGATAACTAACTTTTCGATATTTTCTTGACCAATCCACCATCAAACCTTCTAATCAGATGAGATTTATACAGGTTCTTATCAGTTTTATCTTTTTTTTACATTTCGGCTGATCTCTTCAACTGTTTTTTACTCGTAAAAATAACAAGATCAAAACCAAAATTCTAAAATCACTATCACCTCGAAAACACCAATAAGAAGACAAGAAACAAAAAACGAAATTTCAGTGTTTCAAAAAGAAAAAAAGGAAGAAGAGATGTTTGTTTGAGTGTATGTGTGTGCCACTGTGTTGCCTGTTTGCCGATGAACTCCTTCCGAGAAAGTGCACCGCCCATCTTTTTGTCTTTTTCATATTTATTTACAAGGAGATTTTTATTAGAGGGAAACAAATGGAATGGACTATAACATCTTTTTTATTTTCGCGGGGAATCCGACGGAAGTTAGATACTTCTTCTTCTCGTATTGGTAGTTCTCCTGGAAAAATATTTGAGTTTATTAGTTTTGAAAATAATAATAGAATTAAGTTTTGATTCTAATTATCTTAATTCCCAAAAAAAGGAGATTCAAGAATTGTTTACTACCGTATTTGCTTTAATAAATGCCCACCCAAGCCGTTAAACTGGAGCTCAATTATCTCGATTCCTGTACAAAATATTAAATTATTGAAAACTGATAAACTATTGGTGATATTGTAATAAATGTTTTATCTGTTGAAAACTTTTTGATGTCATTCACAAAAACCGAGGAAATTGAACTCGAAATTGACAGTGTAGGGAATGCTTCTATTACAGGCTACGGTAGTTTATCAGCTGACAATTACGTAAACCAGTAATAAAATGACCCAACAACTTAACTTTTAACCAATTTATCTCGATTCCTGTGAAAGATATCAAAAAGTTGTCAACTGATAAAATGTTTATCATAATATCGGAAGTGTTTTGTTAATTGACACATTTTTGAAATCTTGCATATGAATTGAAATAATTGAGTTCAAACATGGCAGTGTGAGGGAACGTCTATTACATGTTTTACAGTATTCGGTATCACTACCAGCCACCGATATTATTAATTGTAAGATCAAGGTGTCTATAGAAAAATCAAAAAATCTTACATTCAGTTTCGTCGAATTGTTCAAAACTGGAAAAAAGTCTTCAAAGTAATCCACGTAGTCATCTAACTCCATTGGCTCCACGACTTCTCCCAGTAACTTCTTCTCCTGATCATTTCGAACAGGTGGCCTGGCAGAAACTATTGAGATTAGAACACTGAGAACAAGAATGTACTGGATGCAGGATGAGCTCATTTTCTGAAAAAAATACTTAATTAAGAGAACGCATTCATCGAGGACGATTGTTTAAAACTAGAACACCTTGAATAAGTTCGAATCAGTAAGAGACGCAGAGAATCAGAGAAAAACAGTAGTCGTTAAAAGTTCATATGATAGTGGTTTTGTCGGTTTGTTAGAAGGAGGGAAAGGAATAAAAAAGAAAACATGGAGTGGAAAATGAAGAAACAGCCGATTTTAATGAGAGAAGAGACAGCCAAAAAAAAACGCGAGGGATGACGGATCGTTCGAAAAGAAATAAAAAGACAAATAGTTGAAAAAAAAACGAGGGATTGAACATGATGACAACCTTGAGCGGTTACGGTTATTATGTTATGATGATGTGTGGGTGGATGGATGGGGGAGAAGAGGGATTCAAGTGGTTGGAATGGACAATATATGAACATGAAAATAAAGAAAATGAATGGATAAGAAGAAGAATGGACACATGTACGAAGTTTGAACCTGATGATAGAAACAGTGTCATCTGATTGAACAAAACTTAACTAGATTGTTACTTCTCCCTCTGAAGAATGGAAAGTTCTGGGTGCAAAATATTGGTCAGGTTAGAAGGGATTTTTTGAGAATTGGTAACTTTCCAAGCTTGTATTTCAGTTGAGCTGGATAGAACTAAAAATCCGGAATCAGTATAAAATAAATCTGAGCATTAGATTCACAGGTCAGTGGAGGAACTACCCTTCTAGCATGTCTGGGACCCGAGTTATATCAATTTGAAGTTGAGAGGAGACACAGACAGTTAGAGTGTGTCGTCGTCTACGCTCTCTCCCTGCCACATACTCTCTGGCCTCTTGAACTTCGAATGGACGTATATCGGCTTCTAGATAAGCTAAGAACATGATTTAAAACTGATTTGGGTAGATTTCAAGCAGTTTTTTAATGGGGTTATTCAGTGAGAAGAAATTCAGCCAATTGCTGGTTTTTTCCTTATGCAGAAAGCGGAAAAACCAGCAATTTTGCTGGGGCCGCGGAAGCGAGATGGCTGGAGTTTTCTAGGCCATGTGAACTC